TGCATTGTTTGGTGGCACATGCCAGGTGTCCTCAGGCAGGGCCCCTCTGAGGAGGCTCCAGTGATCAGCTTCAGACCTAGCCAGAGCACCACCCAGGGCCACATCCAAGGGTGACATATCCAAAGGGCAAACTAGGCAGGCACCAGAGCCTGCTAAAGCGAATCCTGCTCCATAGAGTCAGCCCCTGCACAACAGCTTCTCCACTGTAGTGACTGCCAGTCCTTACAATGAATCAGTCTGAGGGTCACTCCCTCCCACTGATGTGCTAACAGCAACCAAAGCTCAACTACAACAGGAGGGTACACACAACCCATACAAGGGACACAACTGGAGCACCTGGTCAGGCGACCAGGGAAATGCACCACTGGGCATCATAGGACACCCACTACATAAGGCCGGGAGACATAGCAGCCCTACCTAATAAACAGAAACAAACACAGGGAGGCAGCCAAAATGGGGAGACAAAGAACTAAACAAAATGTAGACAGGCAATCTACAAAATGTTGAGTTCAAAACGCTGGTTATTTGGATGCTCCATGAATTTAGGGGGAAGAGTAGATGAACTCAGTGAGAATTTTAACAAAGAGATAGAAAACATAAAAAAATAATGTCGGAAATGAAGAATTCAAAAACTGAAATAAAGAATACATTAGAAAAAAAATCAACAGGAGATCAGATGAAGCAGAGGACTGAATCAGCAAATTAGAGGATAAGGTAGCAGAAAACATCCAATTAGAACAGCAATAAGAAAAAAGAATACCCAAAATGAAGATAGTTTAAGGGGCCTCTGGAACAACATCCAATGTACCAACATTCGCATCATAGGAGTACCAGAAGGAAGAGAGAGGGAGAGAGCAAGGAACTGAAAATCTACTTGAAGAAATAATGACAGAAAACTTCCCTAACCTGGTGAAGGAAACAGACATACAAGCCCAGGAAGCGCAGAGTCCCAAACAAAAAGAACCCGAAGAGGCCTGCAGCAAGACACAGCATCATTAAAATAACGAAAGTTAAAGACAGAGAGAATATTAAAAGCAGTAAGAGAAAAGCAATTAGTTACCTATAAGAGAGCTCTCATAAGACTAATTTCAGCTAATTTCTCAATAGAAACTTTGCAGGCCAGAAAAGACTGGTATGAAATATTCACAGTGATGAACAAGGACCTACAACCAAGATGACTCAGCAAAGCTATCATTTAGAATCATAGGACAGAATAAAGAGCTTCTCATACGATAAAAAACTAAAGGTGTTCATCACCACCAAACCAGTATTACAAGAAATGTTAGAGGGACTTCTTTAAGAAAACAAGATAAAAAATATGAATAATATCAATTACTTTAAATGTAAATGGATTAAATAATCAAAAGATAGGGTAGCCTAAATGGGCAAGAAAACAAGACCCTCACATATGCTGCCTATAAGAGACTCATTTCAGATCAAAAGACACACACAGAATGAAAGTAAAGGGATAGAAAAAGATATTTCATGAAAATGGAAACAAAAAAGCTGTAGTAGCAATACTTATACCATACAAAACAGACTTTAAAACAAAGGCTATAGAGACAAAGAAGGACCTCCCCACACACACTTCTGAGTATTTACCTGAAGAAACCCAAAACACTACTTCAAAGGGACATGTGGATCCATATTCACTGCAGCATTATTTACAACAGTCAAGATAAGGACGCGACCTGGGTGTCCATCAATGGATGAATGAATAAAGAAAAAGTAGTACATATATGCAATGGAATATTATTCAGCGACAAAGAAGAATGAAATCTTGCTATCTGCAACATGAATGGACGTAGAGGGTATTGTGCTAAGTGGAGTCAGAGAAAAAACAAATGCCATATGATTTCGCTTACGTGTAGAATCCAAAGAACAAAATAAACAAATAATCTCATAGATACAGAGACCATTCTGATAGCTGCCAGATGGGAGGGAGTTGAAGGGATGGGTGAAAAAGGGAAAAGAGATTAAGAAGTACAAATTGGTAGTTATAAAATAGTCATGGGTATGTAAAGTATAGCATAAGGAATATAGTAAATAATATTGTAATTAACTATGTATGGTGTCAGATGGGTACTAGATTTATTGGGGTGATCACTTCGTAAGTTATATAAATAGTCGATCACTATACTGTATACCTGAAACAAATGTAATTGAAAAAATAAAAAAGTTATTTTAAAAAAAGAACACTACAAAGTATACGGGCTAGGAGTCCTTAGCTAAATAATCTCAGGGTAAATTTTTAGTCTCTGAATCTCCTCTAATCTTTAACAGTTGGACACAGAGGCCCCTTTTTTGCCCTAAATTCTCACATTTCAGGCTTTCCTTCTAATTAGTCTTTCTCAAATGATGACCTTTCCCTGTCATCTGTAAAATGATTTCTAAATACTAATTTTTTTCCTCTCAAAATACAACTATATCCATACCTCCCAAAGATGTCAGTCAATTAAGAAATCATTGAGCTCATTCCAACCATGTTAATATTCAAACTAACATCATATTCATAACTCTATTCTAAAACATAACACAAGGCTATTTTTAACAAGTCCAAACTCCAAATCAAACTGGCTCAGTGGGATTAACTAATCACACTTAATTCTATCTCCATAATTACAGCTAATAGGATCTAACAGGCTACCTTTTTCTACTCCTGAGCATATCACAGAATTTAAATACAGAGAAAAGAGGGAGAAGTGTTTAAAGCCAACACTAGTTTTAAGTTTTCAAATAAATAAGGGATATAGGTAGAGTAAAAAAAACTCTTCCCTTTTATATATTCAGAATATCCTACTGCTTAATGCACAACCTATGCTAATCACTCCATCTTGACATGTTATATAGGTATAACCATGACCACTCTAGGCTACTCAACTAAAGGTGTCATTTATCTGTGGCATTCATCTACAACATGGTTTTCTTAAATTGTATAGTACATTGTCTTTTCTTTATAGTGACTACAAATTTAACAATTTGATTCAGAACAAAATATGGTTTATGAACGAGTTAAAGAGCATGAGCTACCAAATTTAATTGTATAAAGCCCCCATAAAACCCACCATAAAAATTCACAAAGATTTATAGGGTACATACTATATGCTCAGATCTATAGCTAAAGGGATACACCTCAGTGGCAAAACTAATTCTTTAAAAATAAGATGATATTTTCACTGAAAACCATTGACTTGTAGGCAAAAATCACTGACATAAGAGTCCACTGTGCGGTCTGTATTTCAGCAGTCAGGTAACACATGAGGGGCACACTCTGCTAGGAAAGAACATGGCTTTGATTATTATACCCGTCTAGAGGAAAAGGAAAGTGCCTTCCGCAGAAAGACTGTATGGTTTGCTCTAAAAAAGGTGGCTATACCCATTTTGGATGCAACATGAGTAAAATACCTCCTTCCCCAAAGCTTTTAGGTTTGTTATTCAGCCAACAGAAACGTGTACAAAACGGACCCCAAAGATCTATTTGAGTTCAACGTATGCTAGGTTGTGTGACTAAGATAAAATTAGGTGTTTGATAAGTCAATTATTCTACATTTTATACCTAAAAGAAAGCAATCACCAGCATAATACTACAAGCATGAATACACAGATGAAATATTTAGAAGAAAGGGTAAAGAAAATCCACAGGAAAAAGTTTTGATGGGTTTTATATTATCAACATCTTAGAAAACAATCTCAATGAAAATTAACTGGTCGGAATTAAACTGGGTATTACTTTCAGAACTCAAATAGTTAAATATTTGAAATCCAGACTCCTTTTCTATAATAACTATGATGAACTGGCAGACTTCTTCAATTACTTCTGTCTTTAGGGATGTTTAGGCTCAGAAAGTTGTGTCCATGAATCATTTACCAATACAGCATATGCGATTTTCATGGTTTAGAAAGAAGACTGGGTTAAAAGGAACTACAAAATCCAATACACTTATAACATGCATGCTGATGCGCCGGTGGTGTCAACCCTGTATATGCAGGGCAACAACATATCATTACTGCTGTATTTTCATTATAAATAGTGTTGAGAGCTACTAGAGAAAAGAAATTGCCCTGCAGTTCTGGATTTAATATTTCTTAAAAATACTCACCTGCAGCCTTTTTGTGACAAGAAATAGCCTCTTCGTATTTCCCTGCAGCTAATAAACGGTCTGCTCGTCTGCTGTGTTGATGAGCCTAAAAGACAAACATTCTTAAGTTCTCTTGAATCATAAAAAAGGCCACTTAAGAAAACTTTTAAGAAGATAAATAATGCTGTTCGTTGCCACACATCAAACCGTTACAGCTATATCTGTAATGAAAACCTAATGGGTGGCTCTTTGAACTATATAGCACCTGAAAGGATGGGCAACTTCTTTCAACATTACAGATAAACCATTAACACCAGGCACTAAACTCCTTCATTGACCCAACATTCTTCCATTCTTCAGAGATTAAGCAAGAGTTATAATCATAGGCTATTACTCAAAATGTATATTTTCTTGATTTTTAATAAGTTCCTTTAAAAACAGGAGTTATTGTGTAGATACTTTCATTAGTTGGTATAGTTTAAAAACTATAATCCAGAAATTACTTATCACATAGTAAAATCCAAGCTTCTCCTGTATTAACTCATTATTTCTTTCAACATGAGGTACTATTTGTTTTTAAAATATAAATATGTACAATGTACAGTTGAGGAATTAATATCTCCATTTTTTATTATGGTGCAGATATTTTTATGTACCAGTCACCAAAACAAAGACAAACTCAAAAGTTCTGAAAGCAAATGACTAAAGTACCCTGAATGTAAAGATAAATGGATTAAATAAGTAGTCACTGGCCTCCTTACATGTTATACTTTAAGAATGACTATAACTTTGTAAATGTGATTCCTTCTTACACAAAGAGGACCGACTCAGAGGGGTTATGTATCTTATATAAGGTTATACAGTTAGCAGGCAAAGACGACGACAAATAATCAGCTAAAGTCTTCTGGCTAGTGTATTATTTTCCTCACTGAACTCACAGATGATTTACCCAAAGTTTCTTAAAAATGAAAAGCCTTGTACACCCATATTTACAGCATTTTTCACAATAGTCAAAAGGTGAAAGCCACTCAAATGCCCATCAATAGATGAAAGAATACACAAAATGTAATATATACATAAATGGAATATTACTTAGCCTTAAAAAGGAAACTGACACATGCTACATGGATGAACTTTAAGGACATGAAGCTAATAATGAAATATAAAATAAGCCAGTTACAAAAAGGCAAATACTGTATGATCTCACTTATGTGAGGTATCTAAAGCAGTCAAATTCATATGAAATTGAAAGTAGAATGGTGGTTGTCGGGGAGAGAAAAGTGGGGAGTTGTTGTTTAATGGGTGTAGAGTTTCAGCTTTGCAAGATAAAAGGAAAAGTTCTGGAGATGTGTTGCACAACAATGTAAATGTCCTTAACACTACTGAACTATATACTTAAAAAAAAATAAAGAGGGTAAATTTTATGTTATGGGCACTTTATCTCAAAAAAAATTTTTTTAAAAAAAGCAAATATGTTTTTGTCAGGTGTAAAGTAATTTATCTAGAATGCTTTTCAAAAAAATGTGCCACTGATGCCTCATAAAAATACTTCAGAGCAGCACTTTTGCAAAGAGAGAATTATTCTGGGTATGTTTACAAATCATGCTCAGTGCAAAACTGAGGTGAAGACAAAGAAAACAGTACCTCCAGCTATGCATGTTGTTTACATTTTCCTCACTTCTATTTTTGTAAGAAATAAGTAACACTCAAAAACAAGATCATCCCTTTCAATTGTTTCAGAGGATTTTTATTCTTCAAACAGTAATTAAACAAACTTCGTCTAAGTCTCAATTTACACTGAAAATAATAATAGATAACAATACACGACTGGGGCCTTAAAATAATTTTAACCATGGACTCTTGGACTGAGCAAAAATATGTTCAGAACACAGCAGTATTTTATAGTACCCCAAAATGATACAGGTCTTTTGGGAAGAGAATGTACATGATAAAGAAAGCTATGTTATGATCGACATGATTTCTCTAAAAAAATGTGTTCAGATAGTATAGTTAAACAAATGGCACTCAAACAACAAGGTTCTGTAGAGCAGGGTCCCCAACCCTTGGGCCACGGAGGAGGTGAGTGGTGGGCAAGCAAGCCAAGCTTTATCTGTATCTGCAGCTGCTCCTCAGTGCTAGCATTACCGCCTCAGCTCCACCTCAGATCATTAGGCATTAGATTCTCATAGGAGCACTGGTCCATGGTGCCAAAAAGGTTAGGGACCACTGCAGTAGAGGGAAAACAAAAGGAAAGAAAGGAGTGAATCTTCAGGTGCCTTTACTTTTCCGAGCTTTGAAAGATGACCCATATAAGAGTCGAATCTTTGAAATCCCATAGTACGTCCCATGGATAACACAGTGCAGAGTCAGCCCTACCAGGAACCCATGGTTCTTGGCCCAAGTTCTTACTTACACACTTAATCAGCCTAGTTATTTCATCCTTCAGGACCTATTTTCCACCTGCAAAATGATAGCGTTGGACCAGATCTGTGCTTTTCAAGTTTTAATGGAATACAAACCACCTGGGGGGATATGGTTAAAATGCTAACTCTTAGTAGGTCTAAACTGAAGTAAGTCTTGAGATTCCACCAAAGTGAAGCTAAAGCTGCAGGCTAATGGACACACTTTGAGAAGCAAGGATGAGCTGCTCTCTGAGGTTACCTCACTCTAATGCTGTATCTCTAGCGTCTCTATCTTTGATGACATTAGTCACTTTCTACCTTGTACTATATTTATGAAGTTCCCTAATAAAACTTCAAGCTCTGCAATAATAGAATTGTTTCATCAAAGAAACAAATGAGAAGTTCTCGAATAGTGAGAACAGGACCTCATGGCTTTCCCGACTCCCCTAAAACTTCCCCATGTAATGTCCAATCTACACCTCATTTAAAAACATACATCTACTCTAGGTTATTTGGCACCACAACAGTCAAATTCCCTATTAAAAAATCCAGTTCCTACTAGCTTCTTTTTAGACACCCAGAATGTGAAAATTAAACTAGTTAAAAGACAATAAAAGCACTTGGAGGTAGGTACCTGCAATCAAAATGTTTACAATATAGTTGGGAAGACTAAATTAAACTCCCTTTCTTTTTTAACTGAAGATAATGAAGGACACTTAATATCAGCAGTAATTCTTATTTTTAAAACAATCTAAGCTCTCTAATATTAAAACTGATGTGACAACATGGATGGACCTAGAGCGAAATAAGTCAGAGAAAGACAAATACCATATGATTTCACTCATATGTAGAATCTAAAAAATAAACAAACTCACAGGTACAGAGAACACTTTGATGGTTTCCAGATGGCAGGGAGAAGGGAGAGAAGAGTAAAAAGAGAAGGGATTAAGATGTGCAAATTACCAGTTATAAAAAGTCATGGGGATATATAGTACAGCATAGAGAATATGTTCAATAATATTGTAATAATTATGTATGGTGTCAGATGGTACTAGACTTATTGGGGTGATCATTTTGTAAATTATATAAATGTCTAATCACTATGTGTACACTTGAAACTTATGTAATGTTATATGTTAACTGTAACTGAAAAATAAAAAATTTAAAATATTAAAATCGATCTCTACTGTTTTTGATAGAAGAACAGCCATTAAAAGTACTAAATCCATAAATATATTTCCTTGGTAATTCAAAATAAAATAGGAACAAAAAGCAACTGAAATGGGAATGTTGGGTAGTGATTCTAAAAGTAGTTTGGGCACTCATATTTTGTAATTCTGGTAACTGCTGCTCTTCTGCCAAGAATTCCAGGATGCACTAAGATTTTATGGGAGAGACTTTATCTTAATATTTCATATTAATTCAGAAAAGATACAAGACACCCCAGGTCTTCATGAGTGATTTTACTAACAATTTAAATAATGTTTAAGCCAAGAATGCATCTATTTTGAATATTAACCTATTTAGGTTAATATTAACCTATTTAGGTTAATATTAACCTATTTAGGTTAATATTAACCTAAATAGGTTAATATTCAAAATAGATGCATTCTTGGCTTAAACATTATACTTAAATAAAGTATAAATATTTATCAGGACACTGTTAGGACAGAAACGGTAATGTAGCGCACTTCAAGAACTTTAAATCCAGGAGCACCTAAATATATAAAGCAAATATTAACAGACCCCGAGAGAGAGAAAGAGAGAGAGAGAGAGAGAGAGCGCAATACAATAATAGTAGGGGATTTGATACCTCTCTTACATCAATAAATAGATCAAAAGACAGAAAATCAATAAGAAAACACAAGCCTTAAACAACATGTTAGACCAGATGGACCTATCATGCATACATATATAAATATATATATATAACATATATATATACACACATACACAGACATACATACACACAGAACATTCCACTAACGAGCAACAAAATACACATACACATTTTTCTCAAGTGCACATGGAACATTGTCCAGGATGCATTAGATCATGTTAGGCCATAAAACAAGCCTTAACAATTTTAAGAAGACTGAAATCACATCAAACATCATTTTCAACCACAATGGTATAAAACTAGAAAACAATTACAGAAAGAAAACTGGAAGATTCTCAAATATGTGGAGATTAAACATGCTACTGAAGAACCAATGGGTCAATGAAGAAATCAAAAATCAAAATATACCTTGAAACAAATGAAAATGGAAATACAACATACCAAAAATTATGGGATGCAGCAAAAGATTCTAACAGCGAAATTCATACCAATAAATGCTTACCTCAAAAAAACAAGAAAAATCTCAAATAAACAACCTAAGTTTACACCTCAAGGAACTAGAAAAAGAACAAAGCTCAGAGTTAGTAGCAGAAAGGAACTATCACAGCCAGCAAAAATAAATGAAATAAAGACTAAAAAGACAATAAAAAAGATTAATAAAATCAAGAGCTGTTTCTTTGAAATGATTAACAAAGTCAACAAACCTTGAGCTAGACTCACCAAGAAAAAAAGAACTCAACATCAGAAATGAAAGAGGAGATACAACTCATACTACAAAAATACAAAAGATAAGAGATACTACAATTATACTCCAACAAATTGGACAACCTATAATAAAGAAACTCCTAGAAACCTGTAACCTTC